ATGTTCTATGTTCTATGTAACAGAAAATCATGTTGACATCCCATCAAGTTCAGTTTGCACTCCCAATGGGTGAAATTCTGTGTCAAGTGAAATAATTTCTCAAAATTACTCTTTTGTCTCTAAAATAGAAGGGAGATGAAATCACGAGTACACTACATGCAGTTAAATTAAATAAACTAGAACTCTTGACATTTTATAATTTTTGTGGCACTGTTTAAATAAAATTAGACAACATGGACAGTTTGTTATGAATGGTTAACAACAGATTACAAAATTGTGTAACATTAAGTGCCTATTACTAAAATTTATTGAAAAATGTAGCATGATGCTTAGCTTTATGTTACTTTGCATTAAAATAAAATACTTTTCAACAGATGCACGTCCTGGAGTTTGCTATTCTGGTCTGGTTAATGGTCGCTGTGCTAAAGAAATTCCAAGACCTTTCACCAAATTGCAGTGCTGCTGTGACAGTGGTCGGTGTTGGTCAGCTGGTACAATTCCAGAAATGTGTCCAATGCGTGGAACTGGTATGTCTTGTTTGTGTCTCTTTGTAATGATTCCTATATTTTTTAAAAGATTAATGCATATTTCAGCTAGTCTAAGGTGATCTTTCTTTATGATACAAGGTAACGTTATATAATCTGAGGCTCTGCCATGTGACTTCTCAACAGGAACTTTGTTTCATTGCTTGTTCTTTCTATTCTCTCCAAATGAATGAGACGCTTAACTATAAAGCCAAATTTGGTTAATAAGGAAGGACTCATGAATTTCACATTAAGAAGCTGAATTCAAGCTTGGATTTTTCTTTTGAAACAATTACTGAACTATTCAAAATATAATTACATATGCTAATCAAGTTTAAAGATTACATTTACAGAATATTATATTTTTATCTGTCCAGCTCTCTGCCTTGCTTTACTCCTTGAAGTCACTTCTTAAAACCTAGGTGTAATTCTTGTGTAAATTGTTTCAATATCTGTAGAAATTTTCTTCATGTGGACTTCAGGATTTTGGGCTTAAAGTTCAACTGAGATGCATTTTTAATTAGTAGCAATTATTAAAGGAAAAATTACATTATGAATTAAAAGGAGATTCTTCTTGAATAATCTGTTGCTACATGAACAATACAGCACAGGAACAGGCTGCTCTTCCATACTAAAACTGTCTTCACTTACAGGATCCATATCCCTTTATTCGCTTCCTATTCACACATTCCAGCTGCTTCTTGAATGCTATTGTGTCTGCTTCCACCAACTCCTGTGGCAGCACATTCTACGTACTCACCACCCCTTGTGAAAAACTTGCCTCATACATCTTTTTTAAACTCCTTGAACCTGTGTCCCCTAGTAATTGACCCCGCCACCCTGAGAAAAAGCCTCATATTTTATACTCTATCCGTGCCATTCACAATCTTTTAAACTACTATCAGATCGCCCCTCAACCTCCTGCGTTCCGTGAAAACAACCCAATCTATCCAACCTTTCTCCATAGCTAAAATCCCCCATACCAGGCAACATCCTGGTAAACCTTTTCCGTACCCTCACCAAAGCATCCACACCCTTCTGATAATGTGGTGACCAGAACTGTATGCAATATTCAAAGTGTGGCCTAACTAAAATTCTGTAAAGCTGCAGCATAACTTGCCTTTCCTTATACTCAGTGCCCCTTTCAATGAAGGCAAGCATGCCATAGGCTTTTTTTACTAACTTATCTACCTGTGCTGCCACCTTCAGTGATGTGTGGACCTGAACACCCAGATTCCTCTGCAGATCAATGCTCCTAAGGGTTCTGCCATTCACTGTATAATTTCTACCTGTACTTCACCTTCCAAAATGCATCAGCACACATTTGACTCGATTAAACTCCATCTGCCATTTTTCTGCCCATGCCTCCAACTAATCTATATCCTGCTTTATCTTCTGACAATCATCCACACTACCCACAACTCCACCAATCTTTATATCGTCCACAAACTTACTAATTAGACCAGCCATGATTTCCTCCAAATCACTTATGTAGAGCATGAACAGCAGCGGTCCCAGCACTGATCCCTGTGGGAATTGTCACAACCCTCCATTCCAAAAAGCATCCTTCACTGCTACCCTCTGCCTCCTATGACTAAGCCAGTTCTGTATCCATCTTCCCAGCTCATCCCTGATACCATTTGACTTCACCTTTTATATGTTTTCTCTATCTGTTATTTAAAAGAAATTATGAACAAACATATTGTACCCATGAAAATAAATATTCATTCATAAATATTAACAGCAGCAATTTTAGATTATAAAGACCAAAGAATAGAATGTTTTTATTGCAACTTAGCATGAAACAAAATGGCTGAAAATGTTATTGGTAACATTTTTATATGTTGGCTAAAATACAGAAAAATAAGTTACTAAAATGTCCATTCAGTTGAAAGTTTTTTCACCTTTGTATCTCACCATATCTGTATCTCTGTACTTTCAGATGAATATATCAAGTTGTGCATTGATAGTTCTTGGACAGATATTGAAATTAGACCCAGGCCTGACAGTGAATTCAGACCTGTTGATGGTCACCGGCCTGAAGGTGGACCTGACTATTGGACTAATGGGCGTCGTCCTCACCTTGGACCTAGTGAGATCAAATTACCATTGTTATCATTTATTTATTTCAATACTTGTTAGCTATTTGTCTAATAAAATCATGATTTTTTTCTCCATTTCTTTTTCAGGACCTTTAAATGTAACTGATTATTGCCAGATTTATAGAAACCTCTGCTTGTATGGACAGTGCATTCCACTTCAAGGGCCCAGTTATCGCTGCGAGTGTTATATGGGTTATAAACTTGATGCAAGAGGAGAGTGTGTTGGTATGATTCAGACTGCTTTGTTGGGGTGTGTTATATTAATCCCTGTCTGATTTTGGGGTTTGTTTGTCATTTCCAGTATGATGATGATTTTTTTCATTAAAGGCAGTGTCAAACCAGTAGTTCTGGCATAGTATATATTTTAATTATTTTTAAATATATATAGTTAAAATGTTGTAAAATTGGTTGTATGTTAAAGTAGTTATATTTAGCTGTATGCTGTTCTTTGTTACATTTTTAAATGTTGTCATCTCCAAACAGCCATTTTAATAACCAAAAATGAACACATTCAATATAATTATAATATTTTGCTTCAAACAGATGCTGATGAGTGTATAAGCAATCCCTGTATGCACGGAAAATGTGAGAACACGCAAGGATCTTACTTCTGTCGTTGTGATCCTGGCTTTCAAAGCACCGCTACTAAGATTACATGTGTGGGTATGTTATAGTTCCATATTTTCAGTACTCCATTTTCCTTTGAATACATTGTCAGAACAATTAGTTGCGTAATAAATTGTTATTCTCCAGTACTTCATTGAAGAACCCATTATTTATAATGCAATAAGAAGCAAAACAGTTTCTGGTAGCAAACCCAACTCCATTTCGTAGCTAGTTCTAAATTCTAACCCTGAGTGAAGTAGTTTATCCTGAATTCCATTTTGTATATATTCTAAGAAATCTTATGTTTACGACTTCTAATTTTCAAGTCTTTGACAGATATAAATATTGTTATGTCGACCCTATTAAACTCATTCATACTTTTAAAGACCTCTATTAGGCCAACCCTCAGCCTTTTCTCAAGGAAAAAAAACCCAGCCTATTTGTTCTTTCCTGATAGTTATAACCCCTCAGATCTTTAATTCTGTTCACTAATGTCTTCAACCAAACCTGTCTCTAACTTAGGCTGATATTTATCTCTTAATTTAAATGTTTTCCCAGTTTGTTTGAGATGTTACTATAAGCAATTGTTGTATGATTTAATTATCTATTATTACGTGGGATCTAAGGATTTTGAACAACTTGACATGTGACTTTGGGTCTACTTTTTGATATTTTCTGAAATGTACTAGACTCTGATCAGGTCCTAGCTAACTATGAAAATCTCTGGTGCTAATTATGGATTTGTAAGTCTTGCATCAGTTCTGAGAAAAATTGTTTCAAACAATATAGAAGAAGAGTATGAAGGATTTTTTTGAGAGGATTGCTGGGAGATAAATAAGCTAGTTCCAGAAATGAGAAGTCATTTTTGGGACATCTATTTCTATATAGGCGGCAGCATGGTGGCTCAGCGTTAGCACAGCATCACAGTGCCAGGAACCCTGGTTCGATTCCACCCTCTGTGTGGAGTTTGCACATTCTCCCCATGTCTGCATGGGTTTCCTCTGGGTGTTTGGTTTTCGCCCACAGTCCAAAGATGTGCAAGCTAGGTGGATTAGCCATGTGAAATCCAGAGTGAGGAGGTGGAGGTGTTGGTTTGTGTCAGACGCTCTTCAGAAGGTCAATGGGCCAGATGCCCTTCTTCCAAAGGGATTCTATGAATCCTTTTTCTTAATTTCACTGAATAGATAAAAAGTGTATTGGATTGATTTTATGAATTAGTTTTAACAAGCAAATAATAGCAAATAAACTAAAATATAGTTTGAGGAGTTTGTTGGACTTATTTAAATAATCATAGAAATAGAAAATCTTCGAACCATGTTCATTTAGTTTGCACCTTTCTTCTCCACTCATGTGATGTGTTCTTTGCTGGCTAGGTTAGCATTTATTGTCAATACCTAAATGCGCTTGAGGTGACAGTGAGCCACCTTTTGAACTGCTGCAGTCCATGGGTATTAGGTATACCCACAGTTAGGAAAGGTGTTCTAGAATTTTGACCTGGTGACAATGAAGGAATAGTGGTATCATTGCAAGTTAGGGTGGTGTGTGGCTTGGAAGAGAATTTACGAGTGATGGTATTCCCTGTATCTGTCGCCCATGCCCTTTTAGGTGTCCGAAGTTGCAAGTTTGAAGGAGCAATGATGAGTTACTGGAGTACATCTTGTATATACTGCAGACTGCTGCCACTGTGTGTCATTGGTGGAGTGAATGAAGGATGTTGAATCAAGGAAGCCACTTTGTGTGGGATTGTGTTTAGCTTCTTGAGTGTTGTTGGAGCTGTATATATCTGGGCAAGCGGAGAATATTCTATCATCTACCTGACTTGTGCCTTGTAGGTGATGAACAGACTTCCAAGAATTAGGAAGTCAAAGAATCATGGAGCTGCACAGCATAGAACTAGACCCTTTAGTCCAACTTTAGTCCAACTAATCCGTGCCGACCAGATATCTGAAATTAATCTAGTCCCATTTGCCTGCATTTGGCCCAAATCCCTCTAAACCCTTCCTATTCAGATGCCTATTCAAATGCCTTTTATATGTTGTGATTGAACCTGCCTCCACCACTTCCTCTGGCAGCTCATTCCATATACACACCACTCTCTGTGTGAAAAGGTTGTCCCTTAGGTCCTTTTTAACCCTTTCCCCTCTCACCTTAAACCTATGTCCTTAGTTTTTGACTCCTCCATCCCAGGGAAAAGCCCTTGTCTACTTACCCTACCCTTGTCCCTCATGATTTTATAAACCTCTATAAGATCAACCCTCGGCCTCTGACACTCCAGGGAAAATAGCCCCAACTTATTCAGCCTCTCCTTATAGCTCAAACCCTCCAACCCTGGCAACATCCTTGTACATCTTTTCTGAACCCTCTCGAGTTTCACAACAACCTATGGTAGGGGGACCAGAATTGATCGCAGTATTCCAAAAGTGGCCTAACCACTATCCTGTACATTCGCAACATGACATCCCAACTCCTATACTTAATGTAGTGACCAACAAAAGCAAGCATACTGAATGCCTCCTTCGTTATCCTGACTACCTGGGACGCCACTGTCAAGGAACTATGAACCTGCACTCCAAGGTCTCTGTTCAACAACACTCCCCAGGACCTTACCATTAAGTGTATAAGTCCTACCCTGATTTGCCTTTCCAAAATGCAGCACCTCTCATTTAACTAAATTAAACTCCATCTGCCACTACTTAGTCCATTGCTCCAGCTGATCAAGGTCCCATTGTACTCTGAGATAAACTTCTTCGCTGTCCACTACACTTTCAATTTTGATGGCATCTATAAACTGATTAAACATACCTCCTATGCTCGCGTCCAAATCATTTATATAAATGTTGAAAAGCAGTGGACCCAGCACCAATCCTTGTGACACACCACTGGTCACAGGCCTCCAATCTGAAAGGCAATCCTCCATCAGCACCCTCTGTCTCCTACGTTCAAGCCAGTTCTGTATGGCTAGTTCTCCCTGTATTCCATGTGATCTAACCTTGTTAACCAGTCTTCCATGAGAAACCTTGTCAAACGCCTTACTGAAGTCCATATAGATCACATCCATTGCTATGCCCTCATTAATCCCCTTCATTACTTCTTCAAAAAACTCAAGAGTGTTATGTGAAGAATTTCTAGCTTCCAAGGTTTTTTCTATCCACATGGACAATATAAAAAAGGAAGTAAATTAATCACTGGTAATTCTAATCATTGCGTACATTGGGAATATATAAAATTGTAAAAGTTAGCCATGAAGGAGAAGTTGTAGTGTGCTGACGACAATTTCCTAAAACAACAGCATGTGGATCCAACAAAGGATCTATGACTATCTGTCTATTTTGGATCTGACAAAATGTAATGAGACAAGTTTAAGAAGGATCTGAGTAAAAGGTTCCCGAAGGAACAGTAACCATAAAATGATAGAGTTTAGCATTCTAGTTTGAAAGTGAGAAACCTGGGTTGGAAACAACTGTGCTAAATTTAAATAAGAGATAACAAGGTGTAGAGCTGGATGAACACAGCAGGCCAAGCAGCATCAGAG